GGTGGGTCTTGAACCCGCGGGCTCAGGCAATCCACTCACCTCAGCCTCCCAAAGCGCGAGATTACAGGCTGAGCCACCAAGCCTGGCTGAAACTACATTTTTATTGTTTTAAAATATGCATAAGTATAATTTAGTGGCATCAAACACCTTCATAGTGTTGAATAACCATCATCACTATCTATACCCGAAACTTTTTCATTATCCCAACAAAAAGGTGATCCTTCCGCCTTCCAAGTAGCTGGAACAACAGGTGTGCGCTATCACGCCCAGCTAATTTTTGATTTATTGTAGAGATGAGGTCTCGCCAAGTTGCCCAGGTGGGTCTCGAACCTGCAGGCCCAGGCAATCCACTCACCTAGACCTCCCCAAGTGCTGGGATTACAGGCTGAGACACCGAGCCCAGCCCTTTTCTTTTTTTTTTTTGTAAGTCAGAGTTTCACTGTCACCCAGGCTGGAGTGCAGTGGCAAACTCATGGCTACCGCGCCTCAGTCTGCTGTGCTCAGGTGATCCTTCTGTCTCAACCTTCCAAGTAGCTGGAACTACAGACGCATGCCACCACGCCCAGCTAATTTTTTGATTTATCATAGAGACCAGAGGTCTCACCAAGTTGCCCAGGCTGGTCTTGAACCACTGGACCCAGTCAGTCCTCTAGCCTGGGCCTCCCAAAGTGCTGGGATTACAATCTTGAGCCACCGTGCCTGGCCTATGGATTTTCACAAAAGATGAGCAGCCACATATTCACCAGTATTTTTTTTTTTTTTTTTTTTTGAGTCAAAGTCTCACTTCATCACCCAGGCTGAAATGCAGTGGCACGCTCACGGCCACCCCAGCACCTGCTGGGCTCTGGCAATCCTTCCACCTTTGCCTTCCGAATAGCCAGAACTACAGGTGTGCGCTACCACACCTGGCTAATTGTTTATTTATTGTGGAAATGAGGTCTCGCCAAGTTGCCTGGGGTGGTCTCGAACCCGCAGTCTCAGGCAATCTACTCGCCTCAGCCTCCTGAAGTACTGGGATGACAGGCTGAGCCACCAAGCCTGACCATCACCAGTATTTTACAATTATTCTTTCTTGAGTCAAATTATTGCCACAGCTAACTAGAAGTACTAAATTGAAATAACTATTGTTTAACTATACGTATGGGAATGTCTTAAACGTTTTTGGCCAAATAAACCATTCTAGACAGAGGTTTATACAGATGATTCAATGGCCTCTTTCAGTTACAAGACATGCATTTCCTTCTCCTATCAATAAGTAAGTGAGACCTGACTTTTGTGTCGGAGGGGTCACAGTCACATAGATGGTCACTTACTGTTTTCTATCTCATCCTATCACTCATAATTTGAAGCCATGAGCTCAAAAAGTCAAGGAAAGTTCCCAGATTTGGAGTTCTCCCTGGAATTCTGAGCTTTTTCTCTACAAAAACCTCTCATTCTGTATTTCTCTATTTCTGGATATATCTCTTAGAATGTGATTTTCCTTTTCTTGAAAAGAATGTCAGTACATTCTCTATGACATATGAAGAGCTAGCACCTATCAAATACTAAGTATGTGCCAGACATTGTTTTAATTGAGTTACACGGATTAACCCATGTAGTCAGTTTTTTTGTTTGGTTTTTTTGTGTTTTTTTGAGTTGGAGTCTCACTCTGTTGCCCAGACTGGAGTGCAGTGGCCGCTCCCAGCCACCGCAGCCTCAACCCGCTGGGCTCCGGCGATCCTTCCGCCTCAGCCATCCGAGTAGCGGGAATTACAGGCATGTGCTACCACGCCTGGCTGATTTTTTGACTTATTGTTTTATAGCCTCTATGATGTTGAAAACTGAGGCCCGAGGAGGTAAGGTCACTTGGTCATGGCTACTTAGCTGGTAAGTGGCAGAGCTGGATCCAAATCCAGACATACTACCTCCGTACTTTTAACATTATATTGATTTTTATTAGTTATCCCATTGATGTATGTTTCATACTCACCACTTTGTTTCCATCTCCACTGATGGCACAATGGTTTTGAGACTTTCAGGATGTATTAGCTACATTATTACAGATACTCTGAGTTTGTTACTTTACTTCCAATCTCTCTCTGATTATCTATGGGCATCACTGCAGATTATTTTTCCTAAGATACTGGTTTCATTATGTCACTCCGGCCAAGAAACTACATTTTTTTTCTTTTTTTTTCTTTTTTTTGAGTTGGAGTCTCACTCTGTGCTACCACGCCCGACTAATTTTTGATTTATTATAGAGACGAGGTCTCGCCAAGTTGGCCGGGTGTGTCTCGAACCCTGAAGCTCAGGCAATCCACTCGCCTCGGCCTCCCAAAGTGCTGGGATGACAGGCTGAGCCACCGAGCCCGGCCCATATGTTCTTCCATTGACACTTCTGATTGTGGTCTTGGGAATGGATATCATTTTGAACCTTATCCGTGTTGGCGAGGCTGGACCACGGGCTCAGCCCCTTCGCTCTCCCCGGTCCTCCACCTCCCAGATAGAATTCAGCTCCGACTCGCGAAACACTTCCGCCCCGAACAAAGATGGCGCCGAAAGGGCCGGGCCAATGGGATGGCGTTGCTCCCGGTTGCCTAGGTGACAGCCAATGGGCGGCGGGAATCGTGCGTAGCGTGCCTGCCTGGGATGGCGGCGCCCGGTGGGGCAGGCGCTGGTACAGGTGGCGGAGAGGAAGGTGGCGTTGGGGAGCCCAGCGGAGCACAGGACCCGGCCGCTGGAGCCCTGCGGCGGGGCGGGACGCTCATCTCGAGAGGCCGAGCCCAGGTCGGCCGGCGGCGGGACGGGAGGGGGAGGAGGGTGTGGTCGGCCGGGGAGGGGCTGGGAGGTGCGGCTCCGTCACCGATGCGCGGCCGCCCGTTGGGGGCGGGGGGTCCCACACCCGGGCCTCTAGTCTCCACCGCGGGGTTCGATCCCAGGAGAGTCCACGGTCAGCGAGCTGGGCTGCGGCAGGAGGGAGTGGACCCACGTGAGCATTACACCCCGGTGAGGCGGGAGTGCAGACCCGGTGGCAGGAAGGAGTGGGGCTGGGGTGCAAGGGTGGGAGGAGAAGGGGCCGCCTCGCTGGGGGCTACGGCTTTGTTTGCTCTGGGCCCGCTTCTTGTCACACTAGTGGAGAGAACTCCCACGTCCCGAGGCCTGGGAAGTGGGATGCCCCCATTCCTTGACGGGTGGCATTCCTGCGGTCTGGCACCTCCGAACTGCTTAGGTGACAGCAGGAGTAACTCCACCGTCCTGGAGCCCGACCCAGGCATTCTCCTTTCCCCTGAGAGAGGATGTTTTTTCTGGCAGTATTACTCCCTAGTACCCATTACCTCCCAAGTCGTCATGGTCAGTTTTCTTTTTTGCTTTGTTTGGGTTTTTTGTTTTTACCTTCCTGCTGGTGCCAGTATTTTCTTCCCACTGGCTTCCATTTAACCATCCCACGGTTTTCCTAAATGAGACCTTTGTGTAGTAACGATACATTTGCTTACTTTTCAAATGGGGAAAGGAAAGATTAGAGTGACAATTTCAAAACTGTCAGGCTCATTTAAAAACACTTAAAAAGAATATTTGATCTTTTGTTCTAGGTTTCTAACGAGGCTAATCTTGTTCATCAAAGCCTCCATTTTCTTCTCTTTAGGAGTCTAAAAGCCTATGAACTGCTTTTTTTATCACTGAAAGAATTTTGGCAAGACTGCCATACCCCGGGAAGGGTGGTTTTGTGGGGACAGTGTGAAGGTATATGTGGGTAGTTAAGGTAACGGCCTGCAAACAGTGTTCTCTAACTGGAAATTTATTCCCCTCTTGAGTTAACTTTTTAAAATCCTCTTAATTTCGTCACGGATTACTGTGAGTACATAAATGTTCTTAATAAATTTGATTTCCTTTTTTTTTTTTTTTGACTTGGAGTCTCACTCCATCTGCCAGACTGGAGTGCAGTGGCACAATCCCGGCCACCGCAGCCTCAACCCGCTGGGCTTTGGTGATCCTTCCTCCTCAGCCTTCCAAGTAGCCAGAACTACAGGCGTGTGCTACTACACATGGCTAATTTTTTTTTTTTTAATTTATTGTGGAGGTGAGGTCTCACTAAGTGGCCCAGGCTGGTCTCGAAGCAGTGGGCTCAGGCAGTCCACTCACCTCGGCCTCCCAAAGCACTGGGATTACAGGCTGAGCCACCGAGCCCGGCCTGATTTCTTTTTTTTTTTTTTTTGAGTTGGATTCTCAATCTGTCACCCACACTGGAGTGCAGTGGCACGCTCCTGGCCACCTCAGCCTCGACCTCCTGGGCTCAGGCGATCCTTCTGCCTCAGCCTTCCAAATAGCCAGAACTACAGTCATGTGCTACCACACCCGGCTAACTTTTTTGATTTATTGTAGAGACGGGGGTCTCAACAAGTTGCCCAGGTGGGTCTTGAACCCACAGGCTAAGGCAGTCCACTCGCCTCAGCCTCCCAAAGTGCTGAGATTACAGTGCTGAGCCACCGAGCCTGGCCAAGTTTGATTTCTTAAAAGTAAAAGAAGACAAATAGAATGGAAAGAAGAATTCTCATTTCTGTCTCAGACTTCTGTTTGGAAACGTCTAGGGTGGAAGAAGATGAAAATAGCAGGAATGGAGTTTATGGTGCAGACTAATAGTGTATTGGTTTACAGGGACAAAATAGTATTTTATGTAAATGTTTGGACTGATTTTGCAACCCATCTATCAGGAGTGTGGAAAGGGTGGGTGTCTGTTTAAAAGCATGAATCATCTTGGCTTGTGACTAGATTCCATATATATATATATCTGGAGCCTACACCCTGAGCCATCTATTCTCTTTAAAAAGATTATTTGACTAATTGGCACAAATACTGATTGACAACCCTTACTAAAATATTGGCTTTTCAATCTTCATCAGCACTGACTGTACTTTAATAAACCAAAATTGTCTCAATGACCATGCTTACTGGTGAAATTCCTTTTGGGGTCAGTCACTGTGCAGCTTTAATTAGCATGGCTAATTACAGAAATAATTAAAATAGTGTCCCAGATAGTGATAATACCAACTATTTGAGCACATGTAGCAGTTTCTAATCAAATGTATTCAACCATGGCCTGACACCCGTGGGTTCTACATATGTTCCCTTTCATTGGCACTTCTGACCGTGGTCTTGGGAATGGATATCATTTTGACAAGCGTCTGCTGAAGGGAATTTTCTATATCTCTTTAGAACAAAATGAAATGGAAATTTGTTATATATACTATTGAAAACCAATGAAGGCTGGGTGCGGTGGCTCACTCCTGTAATCCCAGCACTTTGGGAGGTGGAGGTAAGAATATTGTCTGCACCCAAGGTTTCAAGACCAGCCTGGGCAACTTGGCAAGACCTTGTCTCTACAATAATTCAAAAAGAAAGAAAGAAAGAAAACCAATAGGAGAGGATGGTGGCAGGGTTAGGTTGAGAGTTGGTGTTCCATTTATGATTGCTGAATAACCAATTACCCAAAACTTGGCAGTGAAACAACCGTACGGTGCTTACAGATTCTATGGGTCAGGAATTTGGACCTGGTATTATGGAGACGGCCTCTCTCTGCTATCTCAGGTGGAATACAGGCTGAATGGCTGGGGGCTGGAATTTGCTGATGCCTGGTGCCTGGGCTAGGATGATTCAGAGATGAAGACACACCACTATGGGGCCTGTCTCGGTGGCTTGACTTTCTCGTAGCTTGCTAACCTCTTGGTAGTCAGACTTCTCATGTAGTGGCCCATGACCCCAGCTGTGAGTGTAACAGTGAGCAAGATGGAAGTTGCATCACCTCTTATGATCTAACCTCAGAACACACCATCATTTTCAGCGTGTTCTATTGGCCGAAGCCGTCACAAACCTACTCAGATTCAAGCGAGGAAACTTAGACGTTACCTTTCTTTTTTTTTTGAGTTGGAGTCTCACTCTATCACCCAGACTGGAGTGCAGTGGCCGCTCCCGGCCACCGCAGCCTCCACCTGCTGGGCTCCGGCGATCCTTCCGCCTCAGCCTTCCGAGTAGCCGGAGTTACAGGCATGCGCTACCACGCCCGGCTGATTTTTTTGATTTATTGTAGAGATGAGGTCTCGTGCCCAGGCAGGTCTTGAACCCGCGGGCCCAGGCAATCCACTCATCTCAGCCTCCCAGAGGCGCAGGATTACAGGCTGAGCCACCGAGCCCGGCTAGATGTTACCGTTCATGGGTAAATGATAAGACCAAATTGTAGGCAAACTTGTAGGACAGATGATAGTATTGCAAATATCTTTGGAAATACAGTCCACCTCATTTGGCAGTAAGGAGGTAGCCTTTCTCATTTCACTGGCTTCCTTAAAATATTTTGGGTGTAAGGACAGGCATGGTGGCTCAAGCCTGTCATCCCAGCACTTTGGGAGACCAAGGTGAGAGGATTGCCTGAGCCTGCGGGTTCAAGACCAGCCTGGACAACATGGTGAGACCTCATCTCTACAATAAATCAAAAAATTATCAGGGCTTGGTAGCGTGTGCCTGTAGTTCTGGCACTTGGAAGGCTGAGGCCAAAGGATCACCAGAGCCCAGCAGGTCGACACTGGGGTGGCCATGAGCATGCCATTCACTGTACTCCAGCCTGGGTGACAGAATGAGACTCCGACTAAAAAAAAAAGTGTGTGTGTGTGTGTGTGTGTGTGTATTTTGGGTGTAGTTCCCAAGAGCTAACGGCATACTTAAAAAGTAGCAGCCAGGTGCAGTGGCTCACACCTGTAATCCCAGCACTTTGAGAAGTGAAGGCAAGAGGACTGCCTGAGCCCAGGGGTTCGAGAGCCCTGGGCAACATGGCAAGACCTCGTCTCTACAATAAATAAAAAAATTAGCTGGACGTGGTGGCACATGCCTTTAGTTCCAGCTACTGGGAAGACTGAGGCGGAAGGATTGCCTGAACCCTTGACTGCAGGTCAAGGCTGCAGTGGCCTTTTGAGTGAGACTAACTCAAAAACATAAAAATTAAAAACATAAATAAATAAATAAAAAGTGATGAAAGGATCCAGGATTTGCGACTCTTGCTTATAATCTCAGCACTTTGGGAGGCTGAGGCAGGAGGATTCCTTGAATCCAGGAGTTCAAGAACAGCCTGGGCAACATAGTAAGACCTCATCTCTACAAAACAATAAAAATTAAAAATTAGGTGGTCATGGTGGCACAAGCCTGTAGTCCCAGCTACTCAGAACTCAGAGGCTGAGGCAGAAGGATCACCTGAGTCCTGGAGGTTGAGGCTGTGGTGAGCTGTGATTGTTCCACTGCACTGCAGCCTGGGCAAGAGAGTGAGACCTCGACTCAATAAATAAATAAAAAGTGGCTCAGTGTACAGCTTGAAGACTAGTGCTTTGTCCATAAATAATCCTCCCACTGGAGAAACATCCCCTTTTTTAGGGACCATCTGCTGGTCCCTCTGGACCAAGGTGGGATGCCCACCTCTTCAGAAGTTTTGTATAGCCTTGAGAACAAATGTAAATACCAGGGGATGCCTCTCCTGAGCCCCTGTCTAGTCACTAGGACTCCTCAGGCCCCACCGCAATAACTTCTTCCAAGTTTTGAGTAAAGACAGGTTGTCAGCTGCTGCCAGACATTTAAAGGAAAGGCCCTCATCTTACTATCTTTCTGTATACAGAATGATCCTGAGTTTCTGTTTTGGAATGGTTTTTTGTTACAAGGTTCATAACTAATAATGTATTGGTTATAGGACAAAATAGTAATTTTCAGCCGGGCTCGGTGGCTCAGCCTGTAATCCCGCGCCTTGGGAGGCTGAG